TCTTCCGATGAATCGAGGGTCATAGCAGAGAGAGCCGCAGCCATCGCAGTTCGCGGTTTTCCCCGTGCAAGAACAGAAAACCGGTTAAAGCCCATGCCATAGGGTAAGTTGTAACTCTGGAACAGTCTCAGATTTTGACAGCACCTAACCAAGAATCGAACAAGAAAACAGGAAAAAACTCTTCTTGATCCATCGGTTTAGAGGTTGAACTCGAAAACCGGGCTAAACCAAACCAGACCAGACCAAAACCGAATTCTGAATTCAGATAATCAATCCCAAGCTCTAAACTATCCAGACATAACATAAGAAACAAGGCATGTATGTATCTGCTGAAGAGGCTTATGGACTTTTTTTCCGGTGGATGAAGCAAACTGTCTTTTGCATTTTCACAATTTCTTGAGAGAGAAACCTGAATCTTGCTTTGATTCCGTGTTTATATACTCATGTTTTTCATCAGAGAAATATGAATAAGATTCAGGGAAATGAATGTTTTGATAAGAAATTTACGGCGAGAACATTGAAGAATCGAGTTGGTGAAGAGCCACATACATATATAAATAAATATATTTTTAGAATATAAAACCTTTGTTTAGGTTGTCACATTAGCTGGTGATGTTATCATTACGTACACTTGGAAAACTCGAATCTCAAAAAAACACACAGAGAGGTTACGGTTTTTTTTTTTTTTTGGGTGGTGTTGGTGTTGGTCTAACGCACGGGGCCTACGAACCCTAGCTCGAGGCGAATTCTATATCCCCTTTTCTCCGTGTTCCTCTGCTGGGATCGAATTTGAATCCCTTCGAATTTACCTTCTATGTAAGTAAGATTATTGTTGGCACCTTCGATTGTGGCGTCTTTTGGATTCTGGGGTTTCCACCTTCGTTTCCCGTCGCTGAAGATTCCGTATGATTTAGAACCGTCGATTTCGAAATTAAGGGTTTTTTTTTTTCCGTTTTGCGCCAATCGTGTTTGCTCTATATTGGGGTCTATCTAGATTACGAAGCCATGGGTGTTAAGCTTTTTGATGGTCCGGTGGACTTTTGTTCTTCATCTCGCCCTCTATGCTTCTCGTCGATTGCATTTAAGATAATTGTTTGGAATGCTGATTCTTTCGATTCTCCGTTTTCGAATGTGATGCCATGGTGGCAATGACCCCCCTGCCAGAGTTTTTTTTTTATCTTATCTTTAATGTGACTTTATTGATGCTTTAATGGTGTAAAGGGGTGAATTGAATGAGAGTTTGTCTCCTTCTGCAGAAATCCGAGTTCTTCCGTGCTTTATCGGTGGCTGTTGGAGAAGAAGAGTTGAAATTTCTGCAAATATATTCTGTTAATAAAGTGGAGCTCTAAAGATGCTGCCTTTAAGTTTTGGTAGTTTCGATATCTCCTGTTGTTTTGTTCATCTGGCTGAATGGCATCCTTTGGAATAACGAAGCTTAATCGGGCTTTTAAGCCCTTGAAACCCTTTTGCAGAGTAAGATTTGAATCGGGGTTCGTTCTTCGAGCTTCTAATTTTGATTTCGAAATGTTAGAGCAGCAAATGTTTGTGCAACGGTTCCTTGTGAATGATTTATCGCAAATCTGGCATTAGGATGCTTTCTGCTGAAATTGGCCTCGTTTATATATATGATGTTGAAGATTATTTTTTTATTTTTGGATCTTTGCTTGTAGTAGAGTTGAGTTGTGATATGCAAGCATGGTGCATGTTTACCCAATCCTTGCTCTTACATGAGTGATTTTGAATAATCAGGCTTTAGCCCGCTTGATCCTAGGGTTTAGGGTTTTCTGTGCCGCAATATGGATGCGTTTTGTGTGCTCAAGTCATGATGTTGATTGTTAATTCAATGCATTGCTATTACAGGTTCCAGAATTGTTAGCTTCAGCAGTTTGAGATTTTTCATTACTCATATAGAGCCAGATTTTGGAGTAGAGAATGTTTCGCGATAGCGTTTCATTTGCCCAAGCAATGGGATGCTTTGGGTGCTTCGGGTACTCGAGGAGAACCCGTCAATCATCCAAAACTCATCTGAGTAAAAATCGTGGGTTTTCCCGGGATCGTTTGATAGATGATGTACCATACTATGATGATCTGTATTCATGTGATAGTGATGAAACTAGCAATGCTCAAGAAGAAGAAGAAGAAATGGAGCAGCAGAACCGGTCCAAACGCTCTGAGGAAATCTTGAAATTTAAATTAAATAATGGGTTGATCTGCAGGCAGTTTCCAGTGAAAGAAACGAATAAACTTATCCGTGGAGAGGTAAGGAGCTTCATGTACTCGGGACATTATATTCGTTGCCAAGCAAGTTCAATTATTTTTCCCAGAATTCTAGTCATTCTTTTTGTTTGATGGTTTGACTGCGTTTATTTATTTATTTATTTTTTTTCAGGATGAAAATGGAAACAAGATGATCAATGAGTATGTTCGTGAGTATAAAATTGGATCCGGTAGCTACGGCAAAGTGGTAAGCATATTATCGAGTTGTGAAAACTAAACAAGTGAAATTTAAGGAAGTGTTTATCCGGTAGCTATGGCAAAGTGGTAGAGAATTTTGTTTAAAACACATTTCACTATCATCTCAAAACTTAGCAAAGTTTTTTTTAATCTCGTAATCGTTGTTTCAGAATAACGATTTTCTGTATATTTCATTTCCATGCACGGATGTTACATGTTCAACCAATTCTTCTGGCAAAAATATCTTAGGATCTTTGTTTAGTAACATTATTCATTGCATGTGTTCCAGGTTCTATATCGAAGCTCTGTAGACGGTAAGCATTACGCTATCAAGGTATATTCTCGTTTTCTTTTCCTAGTCCCAATGGAAAGCTTGTTTTCTTTTTCTTGTCTACTTTCATGATGTTGTTTCATTAGAACTATAATTCTCTATAATTGTGTTATTGATGGTGCAGACTATGTTATATAATATTTCTCTTATTCGATCTCTTAAAACACTTGCCCTCTTTGTTTTACGGTGACTTTATACTTCGGCTAGGCATTTCACAAGTCGTATTTACTAAGGCTAAGGGTTGCACCTTCAGAAACGGCTATGAGCGATGTTCTCCGTGAGGTAACCATGACTCTCTCTTTTTTTGTTTACCAGTTTTTGCTGTTTTGGGAACAAAACTCGGAACAAATATCAGAATGTCGGTAAGTTCTGTTTATAGTTTCACTCGTTCTATTTCAGGTTATGATCATGAAAATGCTGGAGCATCCTAACATCGTTAATCTCCTCGAGGTGATTGACGACCCCGAAACTGATCATTTCTACATGGGTATTTTTTGTTTTCCCTTTTCCATTACTGTTGTTTCGTTTGTATTTTCCTCCTTTATTCCCGAGTTGATCTCATGTGAGAACTTAAGTTCTTTTTTTCGTGGTTCGGGTTTTCTCCCTTTCGCATTTAGTTCTTGAATATGTTGATGGAAAATGGGCTTATGACGAATCTGGAAGACCGGGTGCTGTTGGAGAGGAAACCGCTAGAAAGTACTTGCAGGATGTAGTTGCTGGCCTGATGTACCTTCATGCTCATGTATGATCCTTCATTGTCTCTATCTTCTACTTCATCCGCCTTTGTGTTTTCTTCAATCACCATCGTGATTTCTTTTTTGATGCAAAAAAAAACAGAATATTATTCACGGGGACATTAAACCCGACAATCTGCTGGTTTCTAGTAACGGCACAGTGAAGATCGGGGACTTCAGTGTCAGCCAATCCTTTGAGGTAGTGAAAAAAATCTCAAACCTAATCCTTTCTCCCATCCCTCAATGGCTCAATCAGTTTCCATGATTTGTTTCTAAATGCGACGTCATGAGTGTTTATCACGTTATCCGTCAGGATGATAACGATGAACTCCGCCGATCTCCCGGGACTCCTGTATTCACTGCCCCGGAATGTTGCGTAGGTCGGCTTCTTTTCTCGTCTCCTGCAAACGATACAGTATCTCGACTTTAGCGTGCAAAACCTTTAAACGGTATCAGTTTTGTTTTTCCATCGATGCTTATTTTAGGTATAACGTACCGTGGCAGAGCTGCGGATACATGGGCAGTGGGAGTTACTTTGTATTGTATGATTTTAGGACAGTACCCATTTCTTGGTGACAGCCTTCAGGATACTTATGACAAGGTGAGTGGACAAAGCTATAACTTGGATCTCTGATGGGTTTTTCACCATATTTGTCGAGGATGTTTGATGTATCTGAAATCGTATCGCGCTTTTTCCTTGTTTCTTTCTGGTATCTTTTTGACAGATTGTTCATAATCCTTTGGTAATCCCGGATGGACTGAATCCACTTCTGAGAAGCTTGATCGAAGGTCTTCTCTGCAAAGGTGAGTTATATATAGTCCTCTCTTGTGATAAAAGTGTAGACCTTTATGTGACCTAATAGCATGCAAAAGAGAACCAAATCTCTTCATGTGACCCGAAAGGCGAAACCATTTCCGGGTACATCCGGGTTTTCTGCAAAAATGCCCGTAAAGCGAGAACTTTGAGTATATTTCCACCTTCTGATGGATGACGGGCTGAATCAATCTGATGCAGATCCGGAACAGAGGATGACACTGAAAGATGTGTCGGAACATCCATGGGTGATGAGAGAAGATAGACCAGTTCCTGAGTACTTGTGCTGGTGCAAACGCAACTCAGCTCAAGGGACTGAAGCAGAATCCAATGGAGGGGTCGAAATATCTGATTCTAACTGAAAAAAAAAAAGATCGAATCTTGGATCATACAAAAACCGTATTATTAAGCACGTGATCGTTTCATGTAGGGTTTTTTTTATGGACGTTACGTGACTTGCAAGGAATCGGGAAGGAAATCTCGCAAAGAGGAGTTTGGCTTTTAACGTATTAGGGTTCCTCTTGCGGGGTTTTTGTTTTTTACTGGCAACTGCTGCTATATAAACTGTATGTTTTGATTTGATTTTTTTTTTGGTGGAAATTAGTTGGTGTTTTTTTATTTTGTGGAGTGGGAGATGCTTCTCATTTGTAATTTGAACGTACAAAAATTATATGTACTTGTTCAGATTATGATCATAATCATCATAATTAAGCTTGCGGGGGGCAATCTTTGGTTGTGTTGATGGACAGACACAGTAAACAAATGGAGATTCTTTGGGGGGCAAAGATTCGGAATCTGCTTTCAGGACATGGGACAAGAGTTGCTCGATCGAGAAACGGGAATGTTTACATGTATTTAGATTTTCCGGAACTAAAATTCAAATTTTTTTTATGGTTTTCCTATTAATACAAATTTTATTCTTTTGGATACTGAAAAAAACAATGAAATGAATTAGATGAGTCGGGGGTCACGTGCCTATCTCTGAAACCAGAACGATTATTTTTTTTTTGTTTTTTGTTTTAGATTTCCAGAAAATATGGAAGAAAGTGTGTTTCTGTTCCGCCGCTGACTTTAGGGCACAATCTTTGTCTTGTCGACGACTGTCAAAGTCGGAGTTGGAACTGTAACGATGAACATATCAACGAGACTCGCCGAGAAACTCCCCGGAATCTTCCCGGCGCCTCCGTCTCCTCTCCTGCGAACAGGTTCTCCTTTCTACGTTTTCGCGCCTTCCTCTTGTTAACTTGTTGGGTTTTGGCGTTTGTTTATTTCGTTGTTCTGAGAAAATTGGATGTAATTCAAGGGGAAATCGAAGAGGAATTTCTAAAATTTTAGAAATATGATTTCTGGGCTTCTCATTGGTTTGTAATTTGAACCCTTAACCTTCTGCTCTTAACTCTGTTCCGTGATTTCTAGGTTTTTGTCTGTTTGGTTTCCGATAAAGCAACGAGATTTCATGTTTTGTGTCAATTATCCCTATTGGGTTTCTGTTAATTTTTTACATTGAACTCGAAATTCAGCTGCGGAATTTACATTCCTTCACTTCACCTGTACAAAAGAAATTCCGTTCTTTTGTCATTGTTAATCGTGTATTTAGGGTTTTTAGATTGTTTTTTTCTCAGTGGTTTCTTATGAACACAACACATATATACCAATTCTTTCCATGGACATTAGGGTTGCCCGAGTTAGGGTTTATTTCATTTGTTAACCAGAAGAGGAGATTTGGATGGGGATTACAGAGGAAAATGGTGTGGAATTCCGAGAGAGCAGACATGTGTGTGGCAAGCAAGACAGGCATAGTTCATCCAGCCACTGGAACTTACGCTCAAGAAGCCATCGAAGCTATCAAATCCGATAAAGTTGTAGCTGTTCCCACTGATACCCTCTATGGGTTCGCCTGTGATGCTTGGTAAGATAGTAATAATCTTTACAAGTTTATGTTCTTGTTGATTCTGTTTGTGGTTAGTATTCTTTCATATGTAAGTTGAAGTTTAATGTTGCAGTTCTTTGGAAGCAGTTAACCGGATATATGCGATCAAAGGGCGGAGACTTACGAGTCCGCTTGCCATTTGCGTTGGTGATGTATCGGACATTAAGCGGTTTGCCATTACAGAACACTTACCTCCTGGTTTGCTCGACTCTCTCCTTCCCGGCCCTGTCACCGTTGTTCTACGGCGAGGTTTGCGTCTCTTTCTTACTTACTTTCCGCCATTACTTTCCTGTGGATGTATATTTGATAAACCTAGGACAGATATGATAGCTTAGGATACAGATCACCCATGTGAACCTATAGGTTAAAGCTGCTTTCGAGTTCATCTCTCAATTGGGATTAGGGGGTGGGCACGGAAACCCGAAATTTCAAGTTTCCATCTGACCCATGAGCCGGATATCCGAAATTTGAGTATTTGTCCACCGGGATGAATGCGATTCGTCGACGCGACAATCCAACATTCAGGTTTGGGTTCAATTGGCGATTCTCTCTCTCTCTCTCTCTCTTTTTTTTTTTCCTCACCCTCCTCTATCCACCTCGTTCCTCGCACTTCTCCTCGTCGGCCAAGACCCCATGATGTATCCAAACATTCTCCGCTCTCTGCGGGTATCCGAAGCTCGTGTACCCGACCATTAGCTTCGGATACTCAATCATTACAAAACTGAGACTGAGTAATCTGACTGAGAAACCCGAGAAGTGAGGCCAAGGTTGGACATACCAAAAATCTAACTGATGACTTGTGCGGAGAATACCGTCTCAACCTGTAGACTAACCGATGGGTGGCCATTACTTTTGATTCGGTTTTATTCGGAAAAAAATATTTTCCTCTCGACGTGCATTGACGTGATATTTTATGTAACAGGTGAATCGAGCGTTCTTGAGAAGTCCTTAAACCCTGGGATTGATACCGTCGGGGTACGGGTACCCGATTGTGAATTCATAAGGGCAATCGCTCGGGGGTCGGGGAGCGCAATCGCCCTGACCAGCGCCAATCTCAGCGGCCACAGAAGCAGTGTTTGTGTGAAAGATTTCGAGAACCTTTGGCATCACTGTGCTTATGTCTATGACGGCGGCGTTCTTCCCTCTGGCCGTGAAGGATCCACCATTATCGATCTGACAAATATCGGAACGTACAAGATCATCAGACCGGGAAGGTACAGCCCGAGATTTTTGTCTCGGGGTAACTGTTTATAGTTTCTCGGGGCATGAAACATGAAACCGTTTTTGCGGATCGGATCACGTAGACAACGATTTTGCGGGTTCGAATCTTTCGTTTCCCCAGTTCGTTCACTTCTCTCCTCGTTTTTTTTATCCAGCGCGGAAGAAGAGACGGTGGAGATTCTCGAGAAGCATTTTCTCGGGGAGGATGCGGGCGGCGGTTAGGGCAGAACGCCCGCCGCCGGGATGTACGGATCTTCCACTTTTTTTGTTTTTGGGTGTTCTCTTCAAGAAACATATGGCAAAGGAGGAGGAGGAGATGTGGAGTTATGGTCCGAAAGATTTGGAATACTTGAAACATAAAGACAGGTTTAGATTATCTTCGGAGGGATTATTAGAAGAAGCTCAAAGTTGTAAAAACAATGATAAAAAAAATAGAAAATAGAAAAAATTTTGTATTATAAAATGCGAAATGTGATTTAGTTCTGTTTAAGATATTCTATCAAGCTTTTATATTTAGCTTTGGAAAATCATACCAAGTCTTCATGTTCTTTGACTCAAAATTAATATTATTATTATTATTATTATTATATATGTATACAAGAGTCTGAAATCATATTCAATGTATCCGTTTTCAGAAAATTTCTAACGATCTCAATTTCAGTTGGAATCATTTTCTTTCAAGATTCAACTTGAATACGATTATTTGAATCGGAGACACAATCCGACACGTTTTTCATGTGTTTTTTTAACTCTCCTTTGTATGAATGAAAAATTAATCAATGGATATCGTCGTGTATTTTCTTAGTCACCATAATATGAATAGCCGCATAATCCTCTAAACCCTAAACCCTAATTATCTCCGAATCTGACACATTCAATCAACAATCATATTTGAGACAAAAAAAAACAAAAAGAATTATCACTTTGAATAGGATTTGGCCGACAAGAAGATCATTCTCACGAGGAAAACAAATAAAAAAATGCTGTATTAAAAAGAGAGAAATTAAAATATAGGGGTTCAATCGAAGAGACAGCAGCAGAGGGAAGGGGAGCCGGGAGCACCGGTCGGGTCGGAGACGCAGAAACCGGACATCGGGGGAGGGTCATTCGGACCATGGCACTGCCTCACGCAGTCCGCGTGTTTGTTGCACGGCCCTCGTATGTGACACGCCCCTTCCGTGTTCTCTGTTCATTCACATCGATTATTTATGGAATAACCATTCGCATTCCCAATTCAACGGACCAATATATATATATATATATATATATATACACACTTTTTTTTTAAACGAATCAAAATATATGTACATTTTTTGAATTGATATATATATATATATATATATATATGTATGTATTGATTTGGTCAATAGAAAACAATAAATCATTAGTTCTATATACATAAAAGAGTTTGGATCCGATATACAAAATAAATATTTGGTGTTTTCTATTGAATCAATCTATATATATATATATAAGAGTTTAAATCCGATATACAAAATAGTGATTTAGTGGTTTCTATTGAACTAATTAAAAAATATACACATAAAAATCATGACATATATGTATATATGTATTTTTTTTTACCGGACTGGCAAGTAACAAGAGAGAAGATGAGGAGAAGAGCAACGAGTTGAAGTTTTGATGACGCCATTTTCTTCTTTCAATTTCTTTGGGAATTATACGTATATATATATATATATATATATGTGTGTGTACAATATTTTGCTTCTTAGAATTTGAGCAGAGAATCGGGAGAGTTATATGGAGGACATGAGCAGTTCCAAGAACCAAAATTAGGATTGCTTTTATAGGAAAAACAAAGTAAATACCATTTTTTATTCGCCTTTTTACTGCGCCCGAAAAACCGAAAAAAAAACGAAAAATACTTTAAAAAGGTAAAAAAAAAATTATGTTCCTTTTTTGTTTTTAGTTTTGAATATGAGAGGATTTTGACCGCAACAAACATCGTATGCCCAGGCAACATTATTTTAGGGATATTTTCTTCGTAAAAAAAATCGAGACAATTTCATGGGTCCCAAATTTAATACACGCGTAAAACAATTATCACATCTTGTATTATTGTTATTGTTGTTATTATTATTATTATTATTATTATGTTGGCGCCTGTATCATAATTCGGTAATTTCTCACTTTCTATTTATTGTATTAGTATTAAGTTGGAATTATACGGTTTAGATTGAGAAGAAAACTAATAAGATTTAGACAACATCGTTCGTGGATCGATAACAAAAGAAAACAGAGAAATAATTCATCATAGATTTTATTATTATTATTATTATTATTATTGAAATTGAGATGTAGCGAACAGAAGATTTAGAAAAAGGGGGATCACTTATAAGTGCAGCAGCAGACGGAGCCGGGGCCGGACTCATTGGGCATGCAGAGGCTCTGGTCGCTCCGAGCGCCGGCCTTCCTGCACCTGCCGCTGCAGTCATCCGTCCTCTTGCACGGCCCTCTGAACTCGCACACCCCCTCCGAACTCCCCTCTGCATATACACGCACAATACACACATCGTTAGAGAAACTGTTTAATTTACAGAAACAAACAATTCAGAATCTTATTTTCGCTATGTTTAATAATTATAAAATTAAACATATATACACATATATATATATATAGACAGAAAATAAAATAAAAAAGACGGTTAAGAGTAGCGGTGGACGTTTCGGTTCGGTTGCGAAGAACCGAATCTTATCGAACCGAAAAATACGGTATTTTTCTGATAAAAAAACCTCGCTAAAACCCAAAAGAATGGACTATCTCTCCTTTTTCCAAAGTTCCCTAACGGTTTTAATTTTAAAAAAAACTGAATTTTCTAAAAACGAACCGGATCGATCCGAATTTTAAGAAAACACAAAAAACGAATTTTTTTTAATGAAACCGAACCGAATTATTTTCGACCCGAATTCGAACTGAATACGAAAAAGCTCTCCCTACTTGATAGAGTGAGAGCGTTACCAATTGACTGGGAGGCAATGAGGAAGGAAAAGACAATGAGGAGAGCAACCAATTGAAATCTTGTTGATGTCGCCATTTGGTCTCTCTGCCTAAAAATTTTATTTTTTAATACAAATCAACGAGTGGTTATATGAAATATAATAAAGTTTCGTAAGATATATATATACATGCAAGGAGAGAGATAACCTTTAAAGGAAAAGATTCTCAAATTAATGCACCGATTCCCACCAAATCAAATACAGTCCATGGATATTGTAACGTATAAAACCAAACGAAAGAAACTTATTTGTATGTCTTTTAAAATCAAATTAATCTTAATAAAATGTTACGTATAGTTTTTTACTATATTTGTAATGCGATTAGATATTGAAAGGGTTTATTTTATTCCGGATTTCATTTGATAAGATTCCTAATTTCTAATAAGCGACCGATTTGAATCAATTGAACATAATCAAACAAAATCTAATCATTAGTGCAAAACGGGTCGGCTCGGTCCAATCCAGCCCTAAGAGTGGGTGTTTCGATCCGGTTCTTCGGAATCAAACCGTATCGAAAATTTCGGTATTTTTTCGAACTGTACCATTCAAAATTTCCGAATAGTATGATTTTTATAGAACCGAATTTTTCGAAATCGAACCGAATCGAACTTTATAAAATTCCCGAAAACATGAAATTTTCTTACGAAAATTTCATTTTTTTAAACAAAAACCGAAAAAGAACCGTACCGAAACCGAACCGAACTGAATAATATACGATACTAATTTGGTACAAATTTTAGAATATCGAATAAACTGTTTCCGAACCGAACCACTAAAATTCTGACCCGAATCCCGAAACGTTCACCCCTACCCAGCCTGCCTCATTTCGATATGGGAATATTTTAGTCCAACACAGTCCAACCCATTTTTTAGCGAGTAAAAAATTGGCCAGTCCGACGCATATCGCGTTAATTCGCGAACCAAATACATATTTTTTTTTAAAAATAAATATTATAAATATTTAAAAATATTATATATATTTAAAAATACATTTTTTATATAAAATATTTATAAATATATATATAAATATTAAAAAAAAAATTGTCTGAGCCAAGTTCGTGATGAATTGATTCGTTCGACCCGTTTTTTTCTAGGTTCAAATATTCTAAACCCGACTCGATAAAATGTAGACCTGCCTCATAAGCAGTCAGATTTGTTTTACATCCCTAAATTAATTTTTTAACTTTGGAGAGAAAATCCTACTAAAGACTCACATCATATGAAAAAATAAATGCTTCTACTTATAAAAGATATTTGTTTAGAAATAATTTAAAACTATATTAATTATTTATCGTTCTAAATATGTATAAGTTGATAATAGTTCATATGTTTCGTATGATATTATTCTAATGATTTAAAAAAATTGAATATTTGTCATGGTATTTTTAATCTCAATTCGACTATTTTTTATTAAATTTGTCTGTTCTTATAAAATTTATTCTATTCGTACTTACATAAGTTTCAATTCTATTTCTATCATCTAATGGATCCTTTTATATTTGGTTTTCATTAAAAAAATTTACTTATTTTTAAAATTTTGTAAGTCTTCTGTTACTTTTTTCGGTTATTATTGTATAATCCGATCCGAATTTGATTCAAATAAAATTCGATGTAAATACAATTTATGTCTTATTCAATTGAATTTTCATATTTAAATCAAAATATAGCTTCAGATTTGTATTTTATTTATATATTAAATCTATAATTTTAATTTGCATTTAAACATAAACATAACAAAAGAATGCTCAGAAAGCGTGAGCCCGTAAACGTCGCCGTTTAGTAGAACACCGAAAACAAAAAGCTCTGCTGCTTGGGAGATCGATCTCTCTCTCTCTCCTTCGGTCAGGCAAAAATGGCGTTCCGATATTTCCTCCTCCTCTCCCTAACGGCTCTTCTCATCGTCTCCGCCGCATACGCCAACACCGACGACGAAGACCTCAGCTTCCTTGAAGATCCCACCGACGACGATGTTCCCGCCGATTCCAGTGCCTCCCCCAATCTCGACGATTTCGACGGGGAGGACGACGACGATTCCGAGATGTACGACGACGAAGAAGGGGACGAGAACTTCTCCGATCTGGACTCTCCGGATTCGGATTCGTTCGCGTCGCCGGTGGTCGACGAGAAGGACGTGGTGGTTCTCAAGGAGCGGAATTTCACCGACGTGATCGAGAACAACCAGTTCGTTATGGTTGAGTTCTACGCGCCGTGGTGTGGCCATTGTCAGTCTCTGGCTCCGGAGTACGCCGCCGCTGCGACGGAGCTGAAGGCCGACGGTGTCGTTTTCGCGAAGGTCGACGCCACGGAGGAGAACGAGCTCGCGCACGAGTACAATGTCCAGGGCTTCCCGACCGTGTATTTCTTCGTCGACGGCGAGCACAAGCCTTACATCGGCGGGAGAACCAAGTAAGTGAATTTACATTTTTTGAATGTAATATGCTACCGTGATATTGTTGATTGGATCGATTTGGGGATTTGGGTACTGTTATGCCTTCGTAGTCGAACTTGGTAGCTCAAGCTCGTTTCAAAAGCTGGTTAAGTACATTCATAAACAATCTTCAGAGCTCAAGTGTTCTTATGAGTAGTTGTATAAATTTCATTGCTTCCTCTTATCAAACAGTTATTGGTTGATTAATGAGGAAAGATTTGTAAAGTTGCTAAATTTGACTGTACAGAATCTTATTACTGGTGTCTTGTGGTATTCTTTTGTTCTTATATTGTTGATGTGATCTGTCTGTATAAACAAGATTGAGATATAATGCATATTGTTTTCTGAATTCGGGATCCAGAGATGCAATAGTGACATGGATCAAGAAGAAGATTGGTCCTGCTGTTTATAATCTGACCAGCTTAGATGATGCGGAAAAAGTTTTGACCTCTGGCAACAAAGTTGCGTTGGGCTACTTGAACTCCTTGGTGGTATGGCTTCTCTTCTTGCCTGATGGTGATATGATTGTATTTTTGCTTTGTTGGTACATACCGTAATGCAATATGGATTATATTAATTGAGTATATTTCTGGCTCGCATTAAGCAAATGGTATCCCATTTTGATTTCACAGGGCTCGGAAAATGAGCATCTCACTGCTGCTTCCAGAGCTGAAGATGATGTCGACTTTTATCAAACAGTGAACCCTGATGTTGCCAAGCTGTTCCACATCGATCCCGAGGCTAAACGTCCTGCTTTGGTCCTAATTAAGAATGAGGAAGAGAAAATCAGCCATTTTGGTTAATTTCCCAAGTCTTCTTAGTACTTTTACTGTGAAAGCTCTGTTTAGCTTCTTCTGGAGTGGGGAGGTTTTATCATGTTTTTGTCATTCTGCAGAGGGGGAATATGTTAAGTCAGCTTTAATAAAGTTTATATCTTCCAACAAGCTTCCTTTGGTTACCATTTTCACTAGAGAGAGTGCTCCACAGATTTTTGAGAGTGAAATCAAGAAGCAGGTATGTTTACTCTAGTGAATTAAGCCCTCATTGAAATTTGAAGATTTTTAGGATGGTTTTCTGACATGACATGCTTCTTTCCAGCTGATGCTGTTTGCCAACAAAAATGAATCGGAGAAGGCTCTTCCTGAATTCTCGGAAGCAGCAAAATCCTTGAAGGGAAAGGTAGGAGTATAGATCTTGCAGAGATTCCCCTATATGCTCGATGTTGAGACAAACATGTGAACAAAATCACTCTCTGCAATGTTATCATATGGATATAATTAAAAGTCCGGATTTGGATTTTATCATTTTGTAAGGCCACTAACTCAAGTCATTCCTAGCTGCAGCTCATCTTTGTATTTGTGGATCGGGAAAATGAAGAATATGGAAAGCCCGTCGCTGAGTACTTTGGCGTGACAAATGGTCCTAAGGTACTTTTACCTCGACAGTTCTGATTTGCGAGAGATTGTGTATGAGATTGTGGTTCGTTTAATACTTTCTCTCCACAAACATATGTTAAAACTCAACTATGGGCATTTGTATGTTGTTGTCTAGGTGGTTGCTTTCACAGGAACTGAGAATCCCAAGAAACACTTCTTCGACGATGAATTCAAGTCGGAAAAAATCAAGGTACAGTTTCACAAAATGTTTTCACACATAGAACTAGGTTTGGTGATGGTATGATCACTGGTAACATACTTATTTACGAAACCTTCAATTTCTTGCAGTCATTTGGTGAGGATTTCCTGAATGATAAGCTCAAACCTTTCTTCAAGTCCGACCCCATTCCCGCAAAGGTAAAAGCTATTTCCTTCATTCCGTTAATACTGATGTTGTTGATTCACTTTCTCCGGATCTCTATCACTGGTTTTAATCCTGACGACCGCAGAATGATGGAGATGTGAAAATAGTAGTTGGAGATAACTTTGATGAAATCGTTCTAGACGAGTCAAAGGATGTCCTTCTGGAGGTAATACCATATCAAAATTCAAATCAATCAGTACAACAAGGTCACAATTGTTCATAGCTTAAGATTTACTCGGTTGTGTAATGAACGAAACCAGATCTATGCACCGTGGTGTGGCCATTGCCAAGCCCTTGAGCCGACGTATAACAAGCTTGCCAAACATCTAAGAAGCATAGATTCTCTTGTCATAGCCAAGATGGATGGAACAACCAATGAACACCCCAGGGCAAAGGTAACAAAACAAAATACACCAATACCTAACACTAGATATAGCATGAGAGCTGAAACGGCCCCATCTGGGTATGACCCTCTAGCTTATTTGCAACTCTGATTCTGCGTAGTTTACGTGATCTATAGACCGATGATTTCAATATCTCGATCCGGGTATCTCTAAATGACCTAAATTCTACTGACAGGTTGAAGGGTTCCCCACGATTCTCTTCTTCCCAGCAGGCAACAAGACATCAGAGCCGGTAAGTTCTGCTCCTCGGTAGCATCGGATTTCTTGAGAGGGATTCGATATTTCGTATAAGTAGTAAAAGAGTGTGTATTTTTCTTTATTGGCTGGCAGATAACGGTAGAGACAGATAGAACGGTGGTTGCCTTGTACAAGTTCCTCAGGAAACATGCCTCAATCCCATTCAAACTCGAGAAACCCACTGCAGCTTCAGCTCCTCGAACAGAGGACGAGGAGTCCACTCCAAAAGCAAAATCTTCCGAGTCCAGCCAAACCCTGAGCGACCCAAAGGACGAACTGTGATTATATATATATTACGACATTGCTTTATATGAATGAAAACGTAGAGGAAGCAAAACATGGTATTTTCGTTGTAGAAAAAAAACTCACAAACAGTATTCTCTCTGTTTTATTATCAACCTAACTCTTTTATAAGTTCCCATGGATCTGAGATTCTCATGTTGTCGGAGAATTTACAAACCACCAAGCGATCTACGACGACTTGTTGAGGGTCGCAAGCTGTTCACGTGATCTAGAGTACGAGTCTGACATTGTTTCTGATAGTCAAATGAAATCGTGTTTTTGAAGTCGAATCAAATAGATCAGAGCTTTAGTTCAAAGGCATAGATTGACCCTTCGTTCTCAAGCTTAGGCGCAATGCTCAATGCCACATGAACGTATATAGATATACATATATATATATACACATGCATGTTGCCGACTATGTCTATACGCGGCATTCTATATATGTTCGTGTGTATACATTTATGTTAGGTATAATATACATGAACATGAGCACCGTTCATCTGGCACTTCTCTAAGTGGAAAAATACCTCTTTTTTACGCGCCTGAATCCAGTGCTACGCGCTTTTTCCTGTTTCTATACGCCTCTGACGTGGCCTGTTACGTGGCCTGTTCCCATTCGTTTATCTCTTTCCATAGCCGCGAGTCTCTCCATATCTATATATATATATATCTACGTCCAAAGCCGACTTTGTTTAGTTTCTTCTCCAGATCTCTTTTTCTTCTACCAAGTCGGCTCACTTTTGAATTTTCATAGAGAGAGAGAGAGTTGGAATCTTGAAGATGGTGAAGCTCGGCATTATCATTGCTGTTCTCCTAATGGCGGGGCTCGCGTTTGGTGAGATTTCGCCGGCTCCGTCGCCGGATCTAGGCGTGCACGCAGCAGATTCGCCTCCGGTTCACGCACCGACATCGGAAAGCGGATCTCCGCCGTCTCCTTTCTCACCTTCCACTTCCGAGCCTCCGATCGAGCATTCGTCTCCGCCGGAACCGGAATCCGAACATTCTCCGTCTCCAGCCCCGGCGAACTCTCCGTCGAGCTCTCCGCCGATGCCAGAGGGATCTTCATATCCGTCTCCACCATCTCCGTCTCCAGCACCAGAACCTAGCGTGGCCAGCAATATCACTGCGACCTCCGACGAAAAATCCTCCGGCGGCGGAGGAATGAGCGGCGGGAAGAAGGCCGGGATCGTGGTGGGAGTGTTTGCGGCGGCGTGTGCGGTCGGAATAGGCGGAGTTGTGTACAAGAAACGGCAGGACAATATTCGCCGATCACGGTACGGATACGCCGCGAGGGAACTTCTCTGAGTAGAGTGAGAGAGAGACGACGAGCGGTGGTTCTCCGCCATGGATCTCCGATTCCTTTTTTTTTTTGTTAGTTCAAATTTGAAACCACCACTGTTTTTTTATGCTTTTTTTTTTAATTCGTAAAATCTTTTTAAAACTTTGAAATTTAAAATTACTACTGCAGCTGCTCATCGGTTATAGAAATTTCATTCTTTCTTTGTTGTTACCTGCGGCTGTGAGTGGAGAATTTCTATATAATATAATTACGTTTTCGCTTTTAGTTGATCATTGATCAACGCTTGGTGTTGCAGAATTTACATTTAGCGGTAAACTACAAAGCCAATGAATTGATTTTCATCAATGATTGCAAGTCCTCCTTCCCCTATATAGAAAAAAAAAAAAACAGGAATAGAAATTTACATTTAAATAAAGTCCCGAATCTTGAATTTATTATATCTATACAGTTTTAATGAACACGTTTAGGAATCTAGGCCCAAAGCTCAGCGGGACAAAATAAATATTATTAACTTACCAACAACATAGATATTATTAATTTATTTATCTCAGTCGTATTGAATATTCAAAAATTAGAATTAATTGGACGAGTACCAAGAAGCCCATTACAATTGCCATCCTAAAGGCCAATCTTTTATTTGGATCAAGATTTAACTTTTGTTTGTAGATTTAGCCCATAAATTGCCCATTTTATGACCCTTTTTCCAAATATACCCTCCTAGCCCCGAAGCCTCAAAAACTCCTTTGAAATATAAACCTTTAACCCAATGTGGTGACCATATAATATATAGGCCGATAAGGAGGAAACCCTAGAACTGAGAGAGAGAGGAGAAAATGCCGCCGAAATTCGACCCTTCCCAAGTCGTTGAGGTGTTTGTCCGGGTTACCGGCGGTGAGGTTGGAGCGGCGAGTTCGCTCGCGCCGAAGATAGGGCCACTCGGTCTCTCCCCGAAGAAGATCGGAGAAGACATCGCCAAGGAGACGGCGAAGGAATGGAAGGGTCTCCGAGTCACCGTCAAGCTCACCGTCCAGAACCGTCAGGCCAAGGTCACTGTGGTTCCCTCTGCGGCGGCGCTCGTAATCAAGGCTCTGAAGGAGCCGGAGCGTGATCGGAAGTTCTAGGGTTTATCGGAAGAAGACGAAGAACATAAAGCACAACGGAAACATCTCCCTAGACGACGTAATCGAGATCGCGAAGGTCATGCGTCTGAGATCCATGGCGAAGGATCTGAGCGGGACGGTGAAGGAGATCCTCGGCACGTGTGTCTCCGTCGGTTGCACCGTCGACGGAAAAGATCCGAAGGATCGTCAGCAGGAGATCACCGATGGCGATGTCGACATCCCCACCGAGTGAAGGGTACTTTGAATTTTTCCATTTCGTTTAGCCTTCTAAGTCGATGGTTCTCTTAGTACACTGTTCTTCGACATTCCCAGGAATCAGGTCGAAAGACCATTCTTCTTTTCGCTTGTTTATCTGAATCTTGCGTTGAGGTAATTTTGATGGTATATCACCCTCTTAATTCGATATAATTTCTGTTGGGAATCCCACAGCTTTTGGTTGATGTTCAATCAACAACTCGGGCTTTGATCATCTCGTTGCATCCTTCCATGCTAATCAATGATTTGTAGAATCATATACGTAACTGATGTTGAATTCGTGTACAAGATTAGTCCATTATGAAATGTCTGTGAGTGGGTTCGAATGGAAGATGGAGATTTAGTTTGAATTCGATTCGATCTTTAGGTTTGTAAATATGTACTGTTGTTTCTGCAAGAGCAGAAATGAAGTGATTAGATTTTATTATGTTAACCGATTTCAATTAAATTGATTTAAAATCCGGTATACAATAAACCGATTTTATATAATTTGGTTTTTTGATTTGTCGATTTTTTTTACTTTGCATCTTCATGTCACATGTTGTGTAAATAAAATATACATCTCTAAGTTAACTTCTTTTTTTTTACATTTTTAAAATTGTAAAATATATGTGCCAAAATTTTATTTGGGTATTTTGTATAGGAAAAATTAGGAAGTGAATTTACAAATAATTGAATTGGAGTCCGAATGGAAATGTGTTTGGTTCCAGGGCCAAGGTGAATGGTTCTCTGCAGAATGTACGGTCTGTAATTTGATATACGCGTTCGAGCGGGTGAGGGTTTCGATACGATTCCGATGACACGTCTCAAACTCAAAAATACGGTATTTTTTTAATTAAACAGTCTTAAATTTTTAAACGAAATTTAAGTAAACAAAATTTTTCGAAATTGAATCGAATTTAAGAAAACAAATTTTTTTTTTTATAAAAATTGAAAGTGAAATTAGAATAATCGAATAATACATTTTTTTTTGTTATGAATGTCTATATTTAATTTATTCATGTAACTCTTTTTTTATTAATTCAAATGATATTGTTTCTTTTCTAAAGCCTATAAATAGGCATTTGTAATCACATTTGTAATTACACCAAGAAGAAAGGACAATTAAAGAAATACTCTCCCTCCTCATATCTCCTTTTGCATTTTTTAGTTCTTATTATTTTTACAACATAAATAAGTTTATTCAAGTTCATCAAAAATTTATATGAAAATTGAATAAAAATTTATATGTATCATTAAAAAAATAATTTTTGGTGTACTTATATATGAAATTACACAAGATTACCCAAGAAAAAGTTTATTAAATTTTATGGGAATTATGAGATTTGTTTCCTATTATTATTTATTTAATAACTTTCGGTATATAAAAGCGCTTTCTTTTTGCACAAGTAAAAGTATTTCTCATAAATTAAATAGTTGATGTTGGAGGATACACTTTGCTTGCTCGATTAAGAAAACATTAATTAAGCCAAAATTCTTGCAAATAATAAAGTGAATCTAATTAATTAGAATAGCTTTTACAAGATTCCACTTTTCCTCTATTTTTTTTTTTCAACTTCTTACATAACCACTTTTAATTAGAATTTATGTATGTTTATCTCCAATATATAGTTTAAAAGCCACGTCTCAAAGTAGATATAATACCTACCTAGGACCTATAAGCGTGTTTTAATTTAAGCACTTAACCAATTAAAAGATATAGTTTATTTTAATATATATATATATATATATATATATATATATATAAATATATATAAGTGAATAGTAACATTACATATGTCGAAAATATCCAAATAAATAGTGATTTTATATTTTTTATATATAAAAAATTATAAACTTATAACCAATTTTTAGATAGATTTTGAATCATAGTATCATACTTGTTAAAAAAAAAACATGTGGTTTTTTAGTTTATAGACGATTTTGAAATTATTTGTAAAGCTAATCCCTTATGTATTTTAAAATTGAGAAAATCATATATTAATATATGAACTTATAAAAAAAAAGTTTCAGACAAATATAGGAATTGCAAAAAAAAAAAATCCAATAAAATTATAGAAATTCTTGTTAACTTTGGCATTATAAAATCTAAACTTTTAATTCCAGAGAAACACCATGTCATATTAGTTTTTGGCATTGGTTAAAAATTTAGGGGTTTAATTTCATGACGGTTTATAAAAATCGTTTAAATGTTTATGATTTAATTTCATTGTTTTTTTTAAAAAAAAATCATATTTTAATATAATAGAAGGGTTCGTATATTTATATATGAGAATTTAAAATTTTGTGTATTTATATATAAGATTATTTTATAAGTTGGTTACCATTGTTGGTATATTAATATAGGGTTTTTCTTTTAAAATTTAATGCAAGTATATAATTGATCTATTTGAACACTTAATAAATTTATGATAAATTAAGATATTTATCATAGTTTCTTCTTTATTTAGATAAAAAAAATGCTAAATCATGATTCATTAGGGTTTTTATTTTAATTTGCGACGGAATCGTTTTGTTAATGCGAGGGAATATTATGTCGCTATATATATCATTCTTGTGCGTGTGTGTTTTTGGGTCATAGGCCATCTTTCGTATATAAGACCGTAGCTCAATTAAGAACGCATGAAGATTAAATTCTTTAATAAACAGTTTGAAAACAATAGTTTTATATTTTGATGAACTGTAAACAGAACCATGTGAAGTAATATCATGTAACATTGCTCATACCATATGTTTGCATAACTTTTCCCTGTCACCCGTGAGTGTGTGTGTGTGTGTGTGTATATATATAGAGAGACACACAAACCAAAGAGCTACAAGAAGTCACAAGAACAACGAACCCATCTACCTCTCTCTCTCTCTCTCTCTCTCTCTCTCTCTCTCATGGCGACGGAATCAGAGGTGGCTCCGACTGCGGCGGCGGTGTCGGAATATTGGGCATCGCTTGGGCCTTCGGGGGCATGATCTTTGTCCTCGTCTATTGCACCGCCGGTATCTCTGGTCAGTTTTCATTAATGTCTGTATATACATTAATACATGTGTGTGTATATATACGTATATATGGACTGATAAAGTGGTGAATTAGGGGGTCACATAAATCCGGCGGTGACGGTGGGACTGTTACTGGCTCGGAAGGTGTCGATGGTGAGAGCAGTTTTTTACGTTTTGGCTCAGTGCCTCGGCGCCATCTGCGGCTGTGCCCTCGTCATGTCCTTTCAGACACCTCTCTACCACAGGTCTTTTACTACATCTATCCATCGGTCTACATATACACACACATATATACACGATGTATATACTTCATCATTCATCGTGTATATATACACATATAGATACGGAGGTGGGGCCAACGAGCTCGCCGAGGGCTACAGCAAGGCCACCGGTCTCGGCGCTGAGATCATCGGAACTTTCGTCCTCGTCTACACCGTCTTCTCCGCCACCGATCCCAAGCGAAATGCACGTGACTCTCACGTTCCGGTACCTGGTCATCTGCAATGTTATCGTTACGTTTAAGTATTTATATGGAATATACTGTCATGACTTTTGATTTTCAGAAAATAAATAAATCATGAAATCAAAGTAAAAAATGTTTTGGTTTTTGAATTTTTTTTTTTTTAAAGATATTGGCGCCGCTTCCGATAGGATTCGCAGTGTTTATGGTCCATTTAGCGACGATTCCGATCACCGGCACCGGAATCAACCCTGCCCGGAGCTTAGGAGCCGCCGTCATCTATAACCACCACAAGGCTTGGGACGACCTCGTGCGTTTTATATATATATATCATTTTTAAAAAAATAGAATATGTTATTAGTAAGATAATGATAATAATTAATTTTTTGTGATCAATACAATAACAGTGGATTTTCTGGGTGGGACCCATGATCGGAGCGGCGGCGGCCGCGTTTTACCATCAGTTTATTCGTAGAGCGGCTGCGTTTAAGGCTTTTGGATCATTCAGGAGCTCTGTTTAGATTTTTTTAATTAATTCGGTGTTATTAATCCCAATAATTACGATTATCACTTAAGTTATACCCATTTCTGTTTTTTTTTCTTTCAATTAAACCGGTAAATTTAATGAAATGTCCATTCTTAAGAATGATTTATATTTGATTAAATAAAAGTCAAATTGAAATTCGAATGTCTTGAGGTGAGACGAAACGAGAATCAGTGTGACAGATATCAAAACCTAATCGGATAGGTGGCAATTTCGTGAATACTTTAATCAATAAGTGATATTACGGTAATTTCAACACGAGAATTCAATCAAATTTATGAGAATGTACCATCCAATCCTAATATTCAAATAAACAAGCAAAAAAAAACATGGACTTTCAGGCTGATTGTTCATACAAAAAGAGAACCCACGAATTTAAAAGACTAAACGAACGGGAAAACGAAGACTTTATGGAAAAAAATTCAAAGTACCCTTCACTCGGCGGGGACGTCGACATCGCCATCGGTGATCTCCTGCTGGATCATTGATCAACGCTTGGTGTTGCAGAATTTACATTTAGCGGTAAACTACAAAGCCAATGAATTGATTTTCATCAATGATTGCAAGTCCTCCTTCCCCTATATAGAAAAAAAAAAAAACAGGAATAGAAATTTACATTTAAATAAAGTCCCGAATCTTGAATTTATTATATCTATACAGTTTTAATGAACACGTTTAGGAATCTAGGCCCAAAGCTCAGCGGGACAAAATAAATATTATTAACTTACCAACAACATAGATATTATTAATTTATTTATCTCAGTCGTATTGAATATTCAAAAATTAGAATTAATTGGACGAGTACCAAGAAGCCCATTACAATTGCCATCCTAAAGGCCAATCTTTTATTTGGATCAAGATTTAACTTTTGTTTGTAGATTTAGCCCATAAATTGCCCATTTTATGACCCTTTTTCCAAATATACCCTCCTAGCCCCGAAGCCTCAAAAACTCCTTTGAAATATAAACCTTTAACCCAATGTGGTGACCATATAATATATAGGCCGATAAGGAGGAAACCCTAGAACTGAGAGAGAGAGGAGACTTCTCTCTCTGTGAGTTCTAGGGTTTCTTCTCTATACGGCCACCACTACCTATGGGTTTAGGGTTTACATTTCAAAGGTTTGGGCTTGAGGAGGGTATATATGTAAAATGGAAAATGTATGGGCTAAATCTATAAACAAAGTTAAATCTTGGCCCAAATAAAAGATTGGCCTTTTAGAATGGTAAAATTAATGGGCTTCTTGGTAGCTGAAGCCCGATATCACTGCAAATGTGTGAAATTGGAATTATTGAACCGAAGTTATAGAATCATCTTTTTTTCACATTGGAGACTCATAATTCATATATATATATATATATACACATGCGTGTGCATGTGTGTGTTTCATTACCAAAACCATATGAAAGAAATTCTTTCGGACAATTTATACATGCGATACACTATATTATATCTTTTATAAATGAGAATTCGATAAAATTTATGATAATCTTATGTTTCCTTTTTCTAACGTGTTAATATTTTTTTTAATGGTATCTTCATATCGCTTTCGGGAAAGAGAATAATTCAATAGGTTTCGTTATGGACTTGTGGAGTTGAAAATGTGAACAAAAAGACATTTTTCATTGGAAGTACCGAAGGTGATGGGTGTGTGATTGGACGGATAGCTATAAATTTTATCAAAGTTAAATGGATGCATGCGAGGATAATGAAAAAGGATATATATATATATATATATATATATATATATATATATGTAAGGTACATTATCCATACAACTACAAGAGACAAAGCAATTCGCCTTCCATATTTGAACACAAACAAATTTATGTATGAACTTATCCACATACATACATACCATACATATGCGTGTGTGCGCGTCAATAAATTATCTTGTATAGAATTGCAAGGGACGTGACGATATAATCTGTAGTCTTTTTTTTTATCTACCGTATTATTTCAACTTTTTTCATTTTTATAATTATATTATTGAGTTCACATTGTTTAATGAAAAAAAAATAGATGGACGTACTCACTACTCACTATGTCTGAAATCAACAATAATTTTATTTACTGATTTTTATTATAAGAAATAGTGTAAATATTTGTGTGCATAATATTTACATTTTATCCTGATCTAACTTAATTTTGTTGATATGATTAAAACTTGCGAGGATTAAATATTGATTTGTCACATTTGTGTAAATTCGGACAGCAAATTAGAGCAGAGATTAGGGCTGTTTCTGTTTGAAACAGTATAATAAAATAAACAAAACAAGTAGATCTCACGCCACGATAAAATAGTACATATCGTGAAAATATCGAGATATTATTGGGGATACAACGAGTCTGTTGCGGCGGGGGGGGAGAGGACAACGAGATAATGGACGAAGGGGGGGGGCTTCTTATGTCTATCCAGTTGGCGTCGTAATTGTGGGTCCCACTTCACGTGCCCAATCCATTTCTCCACGTGTCTTCGGATCCCATCGTTTAGCCACGTGTCACCCTTCTTGTCCGAACTGATATCAGCCCCCACTCACTTCGCAACAAAGACTGGAAATGTTATAGTTTGTTGTACTCCAGAGATTAAAGCATGGATTCTCCATTTTACCCTTAATATTTTTAATTACTATATTATATCATCAAACTTAGATAACTTTTAAAAAACGGTATTAGACGTTCGGTTTAATTTAATTATTTTGAAATAAAAGTATATTTCTTTAGGTAAATATAATTAAAAATGGTACTACTAGACTTTTGGCAAAGAACTTCGTTAAACTTAATAAAATTAAAAAAATATATATATTTTATATACAAATATATAATCATATGCTAAGTTGGAAAAGGTTATATTTTTTTCTTACCTTAGTTATCTACATTTTTTATAAATAAAAGTATGTTTCTTTAGATAAATTTAAAAGGGTTCTTTCTATATAATCCCAACCAGATTATAGTAAAAGTAAATATGGTAACCATATCCCTCAATCCACACTAATCTTACGTGGCATGCCGCTAAAAAAAGAAAGGGCGTTTATGTAATTTACACTCCGGCAACTGCTAGTTAAACCCAGAGAGAAATGCGGGTCCCTTATCCATTTTATGCAACGGAACCCTTATATATATAGGGAGACTCTTCTCACTGTGAAGTCTCAAAGCAAACAATTTCAAGATTCCCAAAAAAAATAATTTTTAAAAAAATCCTTCTCCTTCTTTTTCGATCTCTTCAATGGCGACAGGGAAAAGCTACTACGCGAGACCAAGCTACCGCTTCCTCGCCACCGATCAGCCCTACCACGCCGCCGATTCCGGATTCGAATTCGAAGAATCCGATCTGTACTTCGCCGGATCCGACCTCTCAGACTCGCCGGAGCTCCGACGGAAGCTCTACACCTCCGGAAAAATACCGTCAACTCGTTCTTCGTCGGCGGCGGTGACGGTTACCGGTTCGGCGTCGTCGCTCCCGGTGAACGTGCCGGACTGGTCGAAGATCCTGCGAGAGGACAACCGCCGGAGAATCAGAGATTACGACGACGGAGACGGCGTAGATTGGTCGGAATCCGGAGGAGGACGCTTGCCGCCGCACGAGTTCCTGGCGAGGACGAGGATGGCGTCGTCGTCGGTGCACGAAGGTGTGGGTAGGACATTGAAAGGGAGGGATCTTAGTAGGATCAGAAATGCAATTTTTGAAAAAATAGGGTTCCAGGATTAATATTTCTTAAATTTGAAGCCCCTCTTTTGATTTTTGTTTTCCTTTCTCATGTTACAAATAACTGTTGGGGATGAGGCGTGTATATTTTCCGAATCACCCTACTTTTTTTTATTATTTTCAGAAAATATTACCATGTATTTCTTTTTGACGCGAGGTTGTATCCTAATTCACGTATGAGAAATATATATAACTTAAATTTACGTAATAATCGAGTTATAATTCTTTAACAGTGTGTTTATTATATTAATTATATTTTCCAAATAGGGAGGTTGAAGTTTAAAAAAAAATTACGGGGTCAAAATGGAAGAAAACAGGAAAGTGGGGGTCAAATGAGTTACAATTGTTGGGGTGGGGTTTTGTATTTGATGCTACAATTCACATGGTCGTGAGTGTGGCCCCTTTCGTTTATAGAATTTATCCTTGTTTATGTCTTTTATAATTAGTTTGACTATATTTGTTTTTTTAGAATAATAATAAACCCAATTCGTTTTCTAATGAAATGGAGGGTCGGTTGATTAGTATTCTATATGATTAGCTTCTATAACATGAAAAAATTGTGGGTTTCATTTTTTTTTTAATTATTTTGTATATTGTTTAAGGCATGTAGATACCTTGGTAAATATCTATATATGTAGATGTATTTTTTTTTATAAAGATTATCTGTTGGTCTATGTAAATATGTAATTGATTATATGATTTAGGTGGGAAACAATAAAGATGCGAAATAAGAAAAAGTATGTTTTGATGGGTTAGTCGTTGGGGGTTACAAGAGAGGCATGCAATTCTTGTGATCTTGAGATTTAGAGGATTATTATGTTTGGCCATAAAGGTAAATTGATCATTTTATAAAACCTAATCTATGGTTTTTAATTTAATCTATTGATACGATGAATGTTTTCATTTAAACAACTAACAATATTATTAGAACATACTTTATTTATTGTTATATAAAATAAGGTCAAGATATGCTCTCTCTGCATATTCTCCGATTTGTGACATGTTTTGTCTAATGACGAAATAATGTTTTGGCTATATTTTTTTCATTCGAAATATTCCTCCTCAATTATTGTTTTACTTTTTTGTCTATCAAAAAATAACATAGACGAAAAAGACATGAATTGGTAATTTGTATTAATTTGTGATGCTTTGAATAGATTTTAATCGAAACTGAGGTATTGGACTAAAATGTTCAAATACCATATATAGATATAGTCTATTGAATATATATATATATATTAAAAGTCCATATAAAAAATATTAAAATACCATAATTTTTAATTTTGAATGTTATTGTAAATTATTCCAAAATTCGTATCATTGTTTCCGTATTTATAGATTAGCCAGACTATAAAAAAAAAGTAAATATGATTAATAGATTAGAAATAACTTGATATCAATAATGTTAGAAACATTAAAATTGGCATTTTTATATAATTGAATGATGAGTGAAATTCCCACATTAAGGTCTTCTCCCTATAGTGGTGTATACTATATATATAACATGAAAAGGCTCATCAATAATAAAAGCCCAACCCAACTTCAAACCCAAATGAAATAATTGTTGCGAGTTCATTATTCATATATGTATATATATATATATATATATCGATAATTACATGTGTATATATATATTAATGAAACTAAACCTCATACTTCAGTTTGTATCGAACGATCTGCGCCATCTTGTATATTTTAGGGTTTATATTGATTTATAGATTTACTCTCAAGAATGGTTAAGAAAAAAATAAACCCCTTGATCGTAACGAGAATGATATTTTTGCTGTAATGGCGTACAAATCTATAGTGACGTACAACAAGATTCTCTAACGTGTATATATACGTACGTCATTATCTCGATTGGCTTGTTTGGTTGCCAAGAAAGTTAGTGGATAATTTACCGAGGGCGCCGAGAAAGTTTCTACGAAACCCACATGGAGATCGATCACCCATCGGATCCGATGGTACCACCGGTGCATGTGGGCGTCGTCATAGTAATGATGGGTATGGTAAGGTATTGTTATAAATTATATCATTCCAAATAAATTTAATTTGTAGATAATTATATAACAATTATTTTTTTAAAAATGACGTCAAATTAACAAATTCATCAAAGGGTCCTATTGTATTTCATATGTAGTTGAACGAGAATTCGATATGTGTATTTCGAATTTAAATGTACTTGTCATATGATTTTCATATATCGGTTTTGCATTGACCTGTCAATTATGCCACGGACAGTCATTAGTTGCGGCATTATTGTCTAATAAATCATGTCCTCAAAACGGTCCAAGTTTATTAATGTGAATAAAATCGACTTGCCTTAATTAACATATAGTAAAAAAAAAAGGTGATTAATGACCACTTGTGATTAGATCACAAGTTACTTCTTTTGATTATCTTGAGTGCGTATATATATGTATATATAATATATATATGATATAAGGGTAGGGCTTGAAAGTTGAAACCCTAAATCTAGGCAAGCTTGTTTAGCGGGTGGGAAGTAATAATGACGAGGGCATTTGATCTGTGATTATAATTAAATAATTGCGATTATTGCTCTCTAATCACGCTAAAGCAGGTGATTAATCAAATCTAAGCACCCCCGCATCCCCTAACGACAAGTGGAGTGGGTTGATTCCTTAAAGATGGAAAAAAGAATAATCCCCAAAAGGAAAATAAAATTAATACATATAAAATACTAAAAATATTGTTGAATGGTAATGGATCGATCAGAAAAAAAATATTTTCCAAATACATTAATATCAATATAGCATAATATACCTAAACATTATAATATTTAAATTCTCATCCACTTTGATTAGATATAAATATGTTAAGATTTTAAATCTATTCAAAGCTGATTATAATGTGTGGATATGTATAAAGTTTCACAGATTTTGATTATAAAAAGGATCTCAATACCAAAAAACTTTTATTTTATTAGTATCCATCACCGACATTATATAAATTTATTTGTATCGATATTTATATAATAATGTGAGTAATGCGTGCTAAGAAGAAGAAAATAATGTCCAATGGAGTAGATATTGGTAGGATTGGGCGTTTCGGTTCGGTTCTTCGGAACTGGACCGAACCGAACCGTTAAAACGGTATTTTTCCCGACCCGAAACCGTTGTTATTTCCCGAATGATACCATTTTTAGAGAACCGAATTTTCTCGGAACCAAAACGAACCGAATTTTAAAAATCCCGAAAAACCGAATATTTTTAAAGAAAATCTAACATTTTTTTAATAAAATCCGGAACCGAACCGAACCGATACCGAAACCGAACCGAATATAATAAAAAACCCGATTGGTATCTATTTTTGTAAAACTGAAAGAACCAAACCGATCTATTTCGTCCCGAACCCGAACTGTTTTCTGAAACGTTCACCCCTAGATATTGGTGCACCGAGCGACCAACTAATGAAAACCAAACACTCTGTTTCCGTTGGAGGGTTTTAAATGAATTCGTGAAAAAAAACCGCATTGGATGGGTAGTGGGTGGGAAGTGAATGCTGCCATGTCAGATCAAATAAAAAGACGTTAATACCCTTTGTCAAGGCTCATAAAAGTAAGTATTTTGAAAACAATGACCAGATAGATTATGAAATTTCCAGTGTTGTATTATGTGATGAAAGGGATAAATACGACGACAGGTCAGAAAAACAAAAATCACTTTCAAAATATAACAATATTATGAATAAAATAATGAATTTTATATATATCTCACAACTTTGGAACAGATTGAAATGAATTAAAGTTTAAACTCAGGATTAAAAATGTCCGTACAGTGGGTCATATGATAACATTTATTTTGATTATTTAATACACTTAAAAAAAGAATGTTTTTGATTGGACTCGGTTCAATGGATCTCGAAAAATAAATGGAAGATATACGATGAGACATTCTAACAAATAATCAAACACTGGGAAAGGGTTTTGGTTACAAGACATGTTTTTGATTGCTTGATGCGTGGAATGATTATGTCAGAAATAGGAAGAGAGAGAAGAGAGAATAATAACTTTTTATTTCTCTTACAGAACAATAATTTTTTTTTTCTTGGGGTTCTTGAGAGGTGAAAATTGAAAATAATTTCATATATTTGATGGTTCTGTACTGGGTTTCTTCTTTTCCGTCATCCATTGTTGTCTCTCTGGTTCCAGAGGTTCCCGTTTCCTGAGAGATGCTTCGACCGCTTGGCGATGGCCCGTCACTTTCTCGGGAAAGTTTGGGGTTTTCTCTTTCTTCTTTTTCCCGGAAAACCCTGAGGAGTACGACGAAGCTTTTCTCCTCGAATTGTCCAGCTGAGTTTCTTTTCACTTCTTTTTCTTGAAGAATCTTGGAAATTCTCAGATCTTCTGAAGCTCTTTTTCTGTTTCGAAGTCCATTTTTTTCTTCCCGGAATTCCGTTCCACTTGTCGCCACTACCATAGAATCTTCATTGTCCGAAATCAAAAGAGAACACTCACACACACTTCCGTTTCTCTTAAGAAACGACGGACTTTCCAAAGAAGCTGAAATCCAGAAAGGCGAAAACAACGCAAAAGAAGAGAAAAGAAAAGCAAGAATACCCAGTGAGAAACCGTCGGAAAGTTCGAGACTTTGAGGTGAGAAATGGCGATGGCGGTGGCGGTGGCGAACCACCGCGAGAGAAGCAGCGACAGCATGGACAAGCATTTGGACAGCACCGGGAAGTACGTAAGGTACACGGCGGAGCAAGTGGAGGCTCTCGAGCGTGTCTACGCCGAGTGTCCGAAACCCAGCTCCCTCCGGCGACAACAGCTTATCCGAGAGTGTCCTATTTTGGCAAAAATCGAGCCCAAACAGATCAAAGTCTGGTTTCAGAACCGGAGGTACTGCAAAAAATCTTGCGTCGTTTTGGCGGAAAAATCTATTATTTCAATTGGGTTTCGATGAACGGATTCTGGGTACCATGTGTTTTCTCTGAATTCACCTGAATCTGTGTTGCTCCAACGCAATTAAGGACCCCTCCTCGTTGTGTTGCTTCCAGACACTGAAGATCTGCGGCTTGTTTTAGTACAGTGGGTGGTTCTATTCTCGGAAAATTTTTTCTGTTTTTGCAAGTCTTCTACGAATCTGTCTGGAAGTTTTGGTGTGAGAGCCAGATTTGGCATCCTATGATATGATTCTCCTTGATGCATTATAAAATCAGGGTTGTGTCTGGTCTAATCTGGGTGGGATTGGTTGTTGAATCTGGTATGTTTTCTGATTGGGTTTTCGCATGTTTAGGTGTCGAGACAAGCAGAGAAAAGAGGCTTCTAGGTTACAGAGCGTGAACCGGAAGCTCACGGCCATGAATAAGCTGTTGATGGAAGAGAACGATCGGCTGCAAAAGCAGGTTTCTCAGCTCGTCTCCGCAAATGGACACATGAAGCAACAGCTTCACACCGTGCAAGTAATCTGAATGAAGCTTTTTCTTTTTAAATTCCAAAATGCTCATCATCTTGTCTGAAAATATTGCCAGAGCTTGTGTTAAATTATTGAATGTACTAAATTCAGGTGACTGATGCAACCTGCGACTCTGTGGTTACAACTCCTCAGCATTTGCTCAGAGATGTGAATAGTCCTTCTGGGTAAGTGTTGTTTCGCCGTGTTAGGGTTTCTTTTTCTTGCCCAATCTGTATCTGGTTTATGGTTTTCTTTGGGTATATTTTCAGATTGCTCTCCATTGCTGAGGAGACCATGGCAGAGTTCCTTTCCAAGGCTACAGGAACTGCTGTCGATTGGGTCCAGATGCCCGGGATGAAGGTATTTACCGGTCTCCCATCTCGTTGTGTTATATACATCATGGCTGTGTATGTAGAGATGTGGAAAATGATATTTGTGTTTAGCCTGGTCCGGATTCGGTTGGTATCTTTACCATTTCCGAAAGGTGCAGCGGAGTGGCAGCACGAGCCTGCGGTCTTGTTAGTTTAGAGCCTACAAAGGTACAATCCTTTATGTCCCTCGGGCCAACGGGATTTATGTGTTTCATATAGTTTCTATCGATCTTTAGATCGTTTTCATGGAAAATTCTTCTTTCTGTTTCAGATTGCAGAGATCCTAAAAGATCGTCAGTCTTGGTTCCGAGACTGTCGGAGCCTTAAAGTTTTCACCTTTTTCCCAGCCGGGAATGGCAGCACGATTGAGCTCGTTTATATGCAGGTTGAATCTCGTTTCATTCTCTTAAGTTATTTTTATCCTTAATCCCGAGAAGGAACACTGAGCGAGAAAAATGCCGTTTTATCAGACTTATGCCCCGACAACTCTGGCTCCTGCCCGGGATTTCTGGACCCTAAGATACACCACGAGCCTTGATAACGGAAGTCTCGTGGTATGTGTTTGTTATTTGTGTGTATATATATACATACATACATATGATTGTTTGGTAATATAATTTCCGGTGTTTACTTCAAAAGGTTTGTGAGAGATCTCTTTCTGGTACCGGAGCTTGTCCTAACGATGCCTCGACCGTTCAGTTCGTGAGAGCAGAAATGCTTCCTAGCGGCTATTTAATAAGGCCTTGTGATGATGGCGGCGGTTCAATAATTCACATCGTCGATCATCTTAAACTCGAGGTTCCGAGATTTTTCCCGAGAACTATCTCTGTTCATAATCCTCTTAACATCCTCGAAGAATCGAGATTTGAAATCTGTTCTTGTTGCTGCAGGCATGGAGTGTTCCCGACGTGCTACGACCCCTTTATGAGTCATCTAAAGTTATCGCCCAAAGAATGACCATTACAGTGAGTAGATATATACTATTTCCGTTCCACGTTTCACGTGTATGAACAATCATTTCGTATAAAGTTGCTGACTTTATTATGTAATGACAACAATGGGCGAAAATTTATCGTATAATAAGCTAATGTTTCGTATGTAATGGTCTGATTCGGGGTTCAATGTTTAGGCGTTGCGATACATCAGGCAAATAGCTCAAGAGACAAATGGGGAAGTCGTATACGGATTAGGAAGGCAGCCTGCTGTTCTTAGAATCTTTAGCCAACGGTTAAGCAGGTTCGGTTATGGAGAAAACTTATAAGTTATTTGCCATTTTTTTCGCTTTTTGATTCAAAATTTTGAGTTCGGTTTTCCCGACAGGGGTTTCAACGATGCTGTTAACGGGTTTAGTGACGACGGTTGGTCTGTAATGCACTGCGACGGTGTGGAAGACATAATAGTAGCAGTTAATTCTACGAATCATTCAAACGATATCTCTAACTCGCTTACTTTCCTCGGAGGTGTTCTTTGTGCCAAGGCCTCGATGCTTCTCCAAGTAAGTTCCTGATCTCGGATGTTTTATAAGAACGCCTTAATAAACACTTTTTTAACGAGGTTTATGTTGTTATTGCTGTCTCTAGGATGTTCCGCCCGCAGTTCTTGTCCGGTTTCTTAGGGAGCATCGGTCTGAGTGGGCTGATTTCAGCGTAGATGCGTATTCCGCAGCCACTTTGAAAGCAGGTACGTATTCTTATCCGGGAATGAGGCCTACGAGGTTTACCGGGAGCCAGATCATAATGCCGTTAGGGCACACCATCGAACATGAAGAAGTAAGCTTTCTCGGTTTTTTTTTTTGCATGATTTGCGTCGGGAATCGTTGTTGTATCTTTCCTCATGTTAGTAATTCGGTTTCTTGCTTTTAGATGCTTGAAGTTGTTAGACTGGAAGGTCATTCTCTTGTCCAAGAAGATGCCTTTGTATCACGAGACGTCCATCTTCTACAGGTGCGCTTCTTCGTATCATTTTTCTCACTCGGAAATCTCGAAAACTCGATAGTGTTCGTTCCTAGTAATCACTCGTAGGGATATAAAATGAGCCATTGGCTCATGAGCCGGCTCAAATCCAACTCGTTTTTTGGACGAGCTGGTTTAAGTTTTTCTTGGGCTCATTTAAAAAACAAGCATGCAAGCCAGCTCTTGACGAGTTAGGGGTGAACCGGTTCGTTTGGCTCGGGAGCCAGGGGGCCGAGCTAGGGCTAACTGCTTTCAACTCAGTTTTATAAAAACGGATTGGACCGGTTCGAGCTCATGGTGGGCTGGTTAGTTTGACATAAATATAACACAACAGATATGTACCGGGATTGACGAGAACGTCATAGGAGCTTGCTCAGAGCTAGTATTTGCTCCGATCAACGAAATGTTCCCCGACGATGCCCCTCTCGTTCCTTCTGGATTCCGAGTTATACCCATCGATGCAAAAACGGTAATGTTTCCACGGCTCATTTCTTGCTTTAGATTCAGTATTTATTTTTCCGACCCTCACAACATTTCTGTGCAGGGAGGTGGCTCGGATTTGCCGACGGCTAACCGTACGTTAGACTTAACTTCTAGCCTCGAGGTCGGTCCGGCTTCAGAGAATTCTTCGAGGTCGCGGTCCATACTCACTATCGCCTTCCAGTTTCCATTTGAGACTGATTTAAGAGAGAACGTGGCAATCATGGCTTGCCAGTACGTCAGGAGCGTGATTTCGTCGGTTCAGCGAGTCGCGACGGCGATTTCGCCGTCGGGGCTGATTCCTAGCTTGGGTTCTAAGTTATCTCCTGGTTCCACTGAAGCTGTGACTCTTGCCCAGTGGATCTGTCAAAGTTACACGTGAGTTTTCTTCCTCATTCATACGAATGAACCTGTTTCTTCTGATGATTTTTCTTGTCTTTTGTCGGATTTTTAGTGATCTTCGGTTTCTTTTTCCGTATGTTTCCAGTCACCACTTAGGCTCGGAATTACTGAATCCCGACTCCGATGATTCGGTATTGAAACAGCTGTGGCATCACCAGGACGCCATATTGTGTTGTTCTCTTAAGGTAATCTTCTAGTGACCACACACATTGATCTAGTATCCTTGGATCGACGAAAAAATGAATCGGTTAGAAGAATGAATCCGGGATTTATACGTCCTATCCGAATTTTAGGTATTGAAACCGAGTTTTCTTTTTGTTTTGATTTGGGTGGGTGAAGCCGCAACCAGTGTTCATGTTTGGGAACCAGGCAGGGCTGGACATGCTGGAGACAACCTTGGTGGCCTTACAAGACGTAACTCTCGACAACATCTTTGATGAATCTGGACGCAAAGCCCTCTGCTCCGATTTCGCCAACCTCATGCAACAGGTACCATAGAGCTCTTAGACAGAATGGACATGGATCAGATATCCGGACCCCGAATCTATTAAAAACCAGATTTATAACAGAAAAAAGAAGCATGGTTGTATTTGGTTCGGGTACCCGAAAACTTCAGATCCATATTATCTGTCATCGGTTCATAGTTTCGGGTTTTCAGTTTACGTGGTTAGTTTCGGGTGGCAGGGCTTTGCGTGCATGCCTGCGGGAAGATGCGTGTCGACGATGGGAAGACAGGTAACGTACGAGAAAGCTGTTTCATGGAAAGTGTTGGCTTCTGCTCCAGAAGAAGACACCATTGTTGTTCATTGTCTTGCCTTCTTGTTTGTAAACTGGTCTTTTTTGTGAATTTTATTTTCATTTTTCTAATCTCATCTTATTTATTAATATTATTATTATTATTATTGTTAGAAACAAAAATTTCCCACTTTTTTCCATTTTGGTTTGGGGAAATGTTTGAAAAAAGAGAATCAAATTGTGTTGATTTTTTTTTTTCAAAATTGATATTAAAAAATGATTAGTTATAGATTTTATAAGGAAGCAAACATTGGATAGGGAATAAGTGAATAATTCAGCAGTCTTTTGTATGATTAATTAATATTTGTGTGGGACAATAACAAGTGGTGGGAACATTAACTTACAAATCGCCTTACATAGGATCTTGAAATTAATTGTTATGATTAAATCAAATGACGAATAAAGGTACGTACAAAGGATTATAGATGCACACAATGATGAATAATGATGACTAATTATTACACACAAAGGATTTGACGTCCCATTATCAAAAAAAAAATCTACGTACTTGTATATACTTCAGTTTCCAAAAATATATATAATATGTCAGTTCTAATATTATAAAAAAAAATTATAATAATGGTTAAACGTGTGATAATACTTGTACAAATTCAAGTGCTCCAAAATTTTAATTCATATTTTATTTGATTGTTACATTATTATTTTATGCAATTTGATTTGGCTATTTGTATATCGGGAGAGAAATGTGACGTGTAGAGAAGCCATATCCATATATATATGTGTGTTAAAGATAGAAGCAACGTCCAAATCAAATTACACTGCCGAAATTAAAAGGGCTTTTTCGTAATTGGACCGTTCGAAGTGTAAGGCCCACTTGGACTAAAGCCCCTCCACATCCTCTGCCTCCCCAAATTAATTCCAAAAGGTTATTTTTATTGGTGATATTTGTGATTAATTGTAATCTGTTGTGAAAAACGAAGAAATATAGAAGACCCGAGAATCAGATCGTTAACTAGAAACCGAAATCGATCGTTTGAGAGACCCGGGAACAAGATTTCAATAATTTTCTTTTCTTGGAATTGTGTACAAATGAAGGAGGGAAATGAGCTATTTATAGAAAATCCGAAGTTACTGTTCACGTATACGTATTTATGAACAGTAACCGTATGGCGGCTAAACAGTAACCGTATGGCGGCGTGAACAGTACCCGGCTGCGTGAACAGTGCCCGGCTGCGTGAACAGTACCGTAGCTTCACTATTCATTTATAACACTCCCCCTTGGAGCTACGGTTAATCAAAATGTATTTGCGTGTCTTATACTGCCTCGTTAAAAACCTTATCAGTAAAACCCCTTGGGATAAAACCTGATAAGGGAAAAAGAGTGCAGTTCCACGCTCCCCCTGTATATCGGATCAAAGGTCTCGTAGATGACGCATTCCAATGTTATGTACATGTTTCTTGAACATTGTTGTCGGTAGAGCTTTTGTGAATAGGTCTGCTGCATTATCACATGATCGTATGTATCTGACTTCAATCTCCTTATTCTTTTCCAGCTCTTGAGTGTATGCAAAGAACTTCGGAGGAATATGTTTTGTCCTATCGCTTTTAATATATCCTCCCTTAGTCTGTGCAACGCATGCAGCGTTATCTTCAAATAATATTATTGGAGCTTTATTGGTTGATAATCCACTAGCTGTCTGGATATGTTGAGTCAAAGATCTAAGCCAGACACATTCCCGACTTGCTTCATGTAGCGCGATAACTTCTGCGTGATTAGATGACGTAGCAACCAATGTTTGCTTTTGAGAACGCCAAGCTAATGCAGTTCCATTGATTGTGAAGATATAACCTGTTTGTGATCTTCCCTTATGTGGATCAGATAAATATCCTGCATCTGCAAAACCAACAATTTCTTGTTTTGTACTTTTAGGGAAAAATAATCCCAAATCGATCGATCCTTGAAGATAACGGAAAATGTGCTTAATCCCATTCCAATGCCTTCGTGTAGGATCTGAACTATATCTTGCTAACAGATTAGTAGCAAATGCTACATCAGGTCGAGTACAGTTGGCAAGATACATAAGAGCCCCTATTGCACTTAAATATGGTACTTCAGGACCAAGTGTCTCTTCACCATCTTCACGGGGGCGAAATGGATCTGTTTCAACATTCAATGATCTATTAATCATTGGAGTACTCAGGGGATTTGCCTTATCCATATTGAACCGCTTTAGTACCCTTTTTGTATAATTAGATTGATGTAGAAAAATTCCCGTATTCATTGTGAAGATATAACCTGTTTGTGATCTTCCCTTATGTGGATCAGATAAATATCCTGCATCTGCAAAACCAACAATTTCTTGTTTTGTACTTTTAGGGAAAAATAATCCCAAATCGATCGATCCTTGAAGATAACGGAAAATGTGCTTAATCCCATTCCAATGCCTTCGTGTAGGATCTGAACTATATCTTGCTAACAGATTAGTAGCAAATGCTACATCAGGTCGAGTACAGTTGGCAAGATACATAAGAGCCCCTATTGAACTTAAATATGGTACTTCAGGACCAAGTGTCTCTTCACCATCTTCACGGGGGCGAAATGGATCTGTTTCAACATTCAATGATCTATTAATCATTGGAGTACTCAGGGGATTTGCCTTATCCATATTGAACCGCTTTAGTACCCTTTTTGTATAATTAGATTGATGTAGAAAAATTCCCGTATTCAAATGCTCTATTTGTAATCCAAGACAAAAAAAAAGAGTGCAGTTCCACGCTCCCCCTGTATATCGGATCAAAGGTCTCGTAGATGACGCATTCCAATGTTATGTACATGTTTCTTGAACATTGTTGTCGGTAGAGCTTTTGTGAATAGGTCTGCTGCAATCATTTTTATTTCCCGCCATTCTATCATTTTCTCCCCCTAATGGTGGGAATTCATTCTCATTAAATTGACAATCAGCAAAACGAGCCGTAAAAATATCTCCAGTTTTTGGCTCAAGGTATCGTATAATGGATGGTGAGTCATACCCAACATATATTCCAAGCCTTCTTTGTGGTCCCATTTTTGTACGCTGTGGTGGGGAAATCGGTACATATACTGCGCATCCGAATATTCTGAGATGCGATATATTAGGTTCTTGACCAAATGCTAATTGCAATGGAGAATACTTGTGGTATGCACTTGGTCTAATACGAATCAATGTTGCAGCATGCAAAATGGCATGACCCCACACAGAAATGGGAAGTTTCGTTTTCATTATCAATGGTCTAGCAATAAGCTGGAGTCGTTTGATTAATGACTCTGCCAATCCATTCTGTGTATGAACGTGTGCAACTGGGTGTTCAACATCAATACCCATTGCTACACAGTAATCATTAAATGCTTGTGATGTAAATTCTCCAGCATTATCAAGCCTCACTTTCTTGATTGAGTATTCCGAGAACTGAGCCCTTAATTTAATTATTTGGGCTAAAAATCGGGCAAATGCCAGATTACGTGATGATAAAAGACATACATGCGACCATCTGCTTGAAGCATCAATTAATACCATAAAATATCGAAATGGTCCGCATGGTGGATGAATAGGTCCACAAATATCACCATGAATCCTTTCTAGAAATGATGGTAATTCATGCCCGATTTTAGCTTGTGATGGTCTGATTATTAATTTTCCTCTAGAACATGCATCACAAGGAAACTCATCTGATTGAAAAATCTTCTGGTTTTTCAATGGGTGACCATGAAAGTTTTCGATAATCTTTCTCATCATAATGGCACCAGGATGACCCAATCGATCATGCCAAACTTTGAACATATCGGTAAAAAAATATCTCCAGTTTTTGGCTCAAGGTATCGTATAATGGATGGTGAGTCATACCCAACATATATTCCAAGCCTTCTTTGTGGTCCCATTTTTGTACGCTGTGGTGGGGAAATCGGTACATATACTGCGCATCCGAATATTCTGAGATGCGATATATTAGGTTCTTGACCAAATGCTAATTGCAATGGAGAATACTTGTGGTATGCACTTGGTCTAATACGAATCAATGTTGCAGCATGCAAAATGGCATGACCCCACACAGAAATGGGAAGTTTCGTTTTCATTATCAATGGTCTAGCAATAAGCTGGAGTCGTTTGATTAATGACTCTGCCAATCCATTCTGTGTATGAACGTGTGCAACTGGGTGTTCAACATCAATACCCATTGCTACACAGTAATCATTAAATGCTTGTGATGTAAATTCTCCAGCATTATCAAGCCTCACTTTCTTGATTGAGTATTCCGAGAACTGAGCCCTTAATTTAATTATTTGGGCTAAAAATCGGGCAAATGCCAGATTACGTGATGATAAAAGACATACATGCGACCATCTGCTTGAAGCATCAATTAATACCATAAAATATCGAAATGGTCCGCATGGTGGATGAATAGGTCCACAAATATCACCATGAATCCTTTCTAGAAATGATGGTAATTCATGCCCGATTTTAGCTTGTGATGGTCTGATTATTAATTTTCCTCTAGAACATGCATCACAAGAAAACTCATCCGATTGAAAAATCTTCTGGTTTTTCAATGGGTGACCATGAGAGTTTTCGATAATCTTTCTCATCATAATGGCACCAGGATGACCCAATCGATCATGCCAAACTTTGAACATATCGGTAAACTTCTGGTTTACTGTGGCATATGATTCAATCACATTGATATTAGTATAATATAATCCCGAAGATAGAGTGGGTAATTTTTCTAACACATATTTTTGTCCCATATTGATTGAGGTGATACACAAATATTCAATATCACCTTTATTTGTGGTTTCAATATGATATCCATTCAGTCGGATATCTTTAAAACTTAATAGATTTCTTTGGGACTTGGAGGAAAATAATGCATCTTTTATAGCAAATTTTGTTCCTCCTGGCATTATGAAATCGGCTCTTCCGGAGCCTTCAATTATTTTTGCATTTCCAGATATAGTAATGACATTTCCTTTGTTTATTTTCAGACTAGAAAAATATTTCTTGTCTGTCAGTATTGTATGTGTTGTAGCACTATCTGCTAAACATATATATCCTCATCGATTTGCAGATTTAGCCATACTCATTATCTATTAAAGAACAAAACAACATAGTAA